AATAGCTATATTCTGGTGCTTATTGATAATTTTTCCAGGTACATGTGGTCTTTTCTCTTGAAACACAAAAGTAACGCAGCTAGCGTCATTAAAAAATTCAAGTTATCAATTGAGAAGCGAATAGGTAAAGAGATAAAGACCTTCCACACGGATAGAGGCGGAGAGTTTACATCAAATGACTTCAACAAGTTCTGGGAACAAGAAGGCATATCACGAATGTTAACAGCTCCCTACGCACCTCAACAAAACGGTATAGTTGAACGTAGAAATCGGACCTTAATCGAAATGACACGGTGCCTCATGAAAGCAAAAGGTGTACCAAACCAGTTTTGGGGTGAAGCTGTCCGACATGCAACTTTTCTCATAAACAGAATTCCTACGCGAGCACTGGTAGGAGTTACGCCATACGAAAAGCTTTATGGTCAAAAACCGGACCTTAAAGACTTAAGAGTATTTGGTTGCGTTGCTTATGTAAGAATAGTTTCTGAGCATTTGAAGAAACTAGATGACAGGTCTAAGCCTCTGGTGTATTTCGGTAAGGAGGCTGGCTCGGGAGGCTTTCGTCTTTACAATCCGTATGAAAATAAAATTGTTATAAGTGCCAATGCAATTTGTGATGAGAATAGAGCATGGAACTGGAAAAATTTTCCTGAAGATGTGAACCAAGCTGAAAAGGAATCGGGTACGTTCAAGGTAATCTGGGATGATCATATAGGTCCAGAAGTCACTGGTCCAAATCAGTCCACTAACCAAGCTCAGATCAACTTTGACAGTAACCAAACCCAGGTAAACAACATCTCAGGATCTGAATCAAACTTCACACCAGCCCCTGTTCGTCGCTCAACGCGTAATTCTGTACTGCCAAGAAGGTTGAATGATTACGAACTAAATGTTCACGAGCTGATGATAACGCTTGACGATGAACCGAGGAATTTTAATGAGGCCAAAAAGAAACCTGAATGGGTCAAGGCAATGAAAACGGAGATTGATTCAATTGAGAAGAATAACACCTGGAAACTTGTTCATTTGCCAAATAATGTTAAACCAATCGGGTCAGATTAATTCACCAACAATTACCCCCTGAATTTCTGAGCCGAGGTGAGTAACTTCTGCACACCAAGTAATGATCTCATTTCCATAAACCTTACGCTTGACATGCCGCTGCTGTAGCTGCCATGAACTCAGCTTCACAAGAAGATAAAGCCACTGTATCTTGCTTCTGTGAGCACCACGTGATAGGGGACGTGCCAAGGAAGAAAACATGACCTGTAGTACTTCGTCCATCATCTATGTCAACATTATGGCTACTGTCGCTATATCCCAACAATTTCATCTCATCGCATCTCTCATATTTTATCCCAAAGTTTGTTGTTCCTCGTAGGTAGCGTAGGATTTGTTTAATGGCTCGTGCATGGGGCTCTCTGGGACTTTGCATATACCGACTAACTACCCCAACGGAGTATGCCAAATCTGATTGGAGCCGGTAAACGACGGGATGGGCTCTTCTATTTTTGTGGATCTCCTAGTGTGCATGCTGTGACGGTGGGAAATTTGACAGATTTTGAACTGTGGCATCGGCGACTAGGTCATCCTTCAGATCGTGTTCTTAAATAACTTCCTGCTATTAGTACTAGTTCTGTTGCTAAGAAATTAAATAAAGCTTGTGAGGTGTGTCCACAAGCTAAGCATGTTCGAGACTCTTTTCCTCATAGTGATAATAAAGCTAGTACTATTTTGGAGTTAATTCATTGTGATTTGTGGGGGCCTTACAAAACTCCCAGTACGTGTGATGCTATTTATTTTCTTACGTTGGTGGATGATTTTTCTCGAGCCGTCTGGGTATATTTATTGCGTGATAAAAAGGAAGTTTACTCTAGTTTTATCTCTTTCCTGGCTATGGTTGAAAAACAGTTTAATCAATCTGTGAAGATAGTGCGTAGCGACAATGGAACCGAGTTCAAGTGTATGATGCCTTACTTTGACACTCGGGGTATTCTTTTTCAGACCTCGTGCGTTCACACACCTTAGCAAAATGGGAGGGTGGAGCGTAAACATCGCCACATTTTAAATGTGGCTCGAGCTCTAATGTTTCAAGCATGTATTCCGATATATTTATGGGGTGAATGTGTTTTAACTGCTGTTCATGTTATTAACCGCACACCATCAGGTTTGCTCGGAGGAAAAATACCTTATGAGATGCTTACTGGGCGAGCACCGAATTTCTCTCACCTGAGAGTATTTGGTTGTCTCGGTTTTGCTTATGATCATCGCTCCAAAGGTGATAAATTTACCCCACGGAGTAGAAAGTGTGTTTTTGTTGGCTATCCTCATGGAAAGAAGGGATGGAAAATGTATGATTATGCTACTGGTGGCATATTTGTTTCTCGGGATGTCCAGTTTCATGAGAATGAATTTCCCTTTGCTGAGTCTACCGCTGTCTTGGATTCCTCGGTTCAGATTCCTACGGCCCAAGCTAATAATAGAAGACTAATTACAAAACTAGGCTAAATAAATATATTAAGGTCCAACAGAGATACAACGCTGCTGCTTGTTTGTTTGGGGTCTTGTCCAAAATTCCGATGGAGCACTACTATCCATCAGTTTCTAAATATGGGGCACGACGTTCAAACTAAGTCAGACGTACAACTAATCAAATGAACATATCCTATTGTTGTATTTCTAAAAGTGCAAAGTTCACATGGGTTTTTAATAGAATGAAACAATAGATAATTATAAACCATTGATAAGTATATCTCAAGGAGCTTAAATGACATTTAATAGAAATCACACACTTGGATCTTTCGTAACCCTAGGTGTAGAAAGTAATGAAGTCTTTTGCTATCTCCTGGGAATGCAAAAACCTCTACAAACCCAAATGCAAATATTCAGTTAGTACGTGTTCTATTGATGGAAATAGATACAAGGGGATTCAGCAAGGGAAAATAACATCTTAATCTGTCTCTAACTCTAATGTTTTTAGTCAAATAGTTACCAATTTATTGAATTACTTGTTAAGCTGTGTGATATGACAGTTTAAGTCTAGATGAATATGCAATATGCAGGGGCAAACGGAGTAAAAATACAGTAAAAGCGCAGCAAAGAGAGCAGTAAAAATGAAGCAAAAATACAGAACTTGAAGGCAACTACATACCCGGTCGGGTACCCTTCTGAAAAATCGAATCAAATCAAATCCGGGAACAAGACATCATGCGGGAAGATTTTAACACGTTCGGGTGTCCATACCCGATCGGGTGACCGACAGGCCCGATCGGGTATGACCTTATTTTTTTCACTTCCGGGAAGCTTCTTAATGTACCCGATCGGGAGCCTCCAAGACCCGATCGGGTACACACCCCTGCATGCTCCAAATCCCTATAAATAGACCTCTTTCCTTCCCACAAAAAACCACCAATTTCTATATACTTCTAAGCTCAGTTTAGACAAGTTATTTCTTTATATTTTCTTCATGTTTAGTCTCCAAATGAGGAGCTAAACTCTTCCATCTTGGTTTTACTACTTTGAAGCTTAATGAATTGTAAGTTGTGAGTTATTTTCTTTAATCTTCTTCCTTGAATATTGATTAAGTCCTATTCCTATTACATATTAATATTTTGAGCAACACTTAAAGGATCAACTAGTTTTGTTTCATATATTAATTAATACTAGAACCGGTCGATTAATACGCTTGTTATTAACTCGGTCCTTTCACGGTAGTAAACTTGGGTTGTTAACGCATGCGTCTCATGGTTAATAAGTCAAGGGGAATTAATTATATTGATTAAACCAATAAACCACTTGTGTTGAGGTTATCAATCTCAATCGTTTTCATCTTGATTGTATTGCTACTATCGAGTGAATATACGACGCGTGTTCTATATTAACTCGGTAGTAAGTTTTATTAATGAACGCGTCTCGTTATTAATAACTACCCTCGATGAATTGGATATACTCCTCGATTGAGTATTCGAGAGGAAGATAGTTAAAGATATAACCAGGATCGACGAACATTTCATTAAGTGGATAAAAGCAAAACCAAGTCTTCTTCTCATTAATTAAACCACATAACTCGTTCATCTTCGTGTTTAAATATAATTTAAAGTTCATCAACCAAACATAAATCCCCCCTTGTTACTTATTCTAATTCTATAAAAAGAGAAGTATTCATTTGCCTGTGGATACGAACCTTACTTCGCTATACTACGTATTAGTGTCGAATTGATATTTATTTTGAGTGCACCTCAAGATAAGTGCACGTCCACCTACTCAATAAATGATTCTTTTCAAGTATAAAATTTTGATACTAAACCGAGTAAGATCGAAGAGAACCATAGAGTACTAGGGTAAGACAATGGGTCTCATCCCAGGTACTCAACTTAACCCGTATAAAACAAGTTTATAATATATGTGACATATACGAAGTATATTAACTACATACACTCTATTAGTTTCATGTAAACTATTATTTATCTAAGCTACATTCAATTCGGATATTGTCTAAAAATAATCTACCGTTTTCATTCTATGTAAATTTGATTTCGACCCCGCTGAGTTATTTTTCTTGCTCCGCCCCTGCTCACATCCCATTAAAGTTTGGGATATAAATAATTTATCCATTCATTCATTATCATTACCCCAGTGTCGCAAAGGCTCTCACCTACGATAGCGTAACGGGGGGGGGGGGGGGGGGGGGTCGGATGTACGCAGTCTTACTCATGTACTAAAGTACAGAGAGACTGTTTCTGGATGACCCATGGTGTAAATCGCGTCTAAAATTGTATAAACTGACTGCTGATTCATAACAAAGAAACGCAGACGGTTTAGTGAGCCATGTTGATTTATTCCATCATATTCTCAAGCCAAAAAAAATAGTGAATCTTTGGCTCCGTTGCAAATGATGGAAATAATTTATAATTTATAATTTATAATTTATAATTTATAATTTAACAATTAGTGAACTAAGTATAAAATAATGTGATTATCACTTAACAAGTGCAGGAATAGTCCACCAATGCACTTTACACCAAATATTCTAGGGGAATGCATGTAACTGCAAGCACTTTCTAAAAACACATAACACATACTAGTAAAAAAAACAGAATAGTCTCCTAGGATGACACACACTAATACAGGATGGTACGGTGGACTTGTCTTTTTTACTTAGACAAACATACCATGCCATCCTTAACAAACCATACTTAAACCGAATAGACAATACCAAATTTAAACAAATCAAACCAAACTAGAGCAAACCAGAAAATTCAAACCATACTTAAATAAACCAGACCAGATCACACTAGACCAGACCAGAAAATTCCAGTCAGATCAAAAACATCCTTAATGGAATCGGTACTACTCGGCATCCTCGTTCGTGGGATTCCATGTAGAGAAGTTATAACTATAATTTTCGGCTATCGGGAAGAGTACTTCATGACTGTAATAGAAGCTTAAGGGTGAAGGTGTTCCGGGAAGCTGATATGGATCACCATAGGTCATGATGTGTTGATTTCCATGGGTAAAAGGGTAGCTTGGATGTGATGAAATGGGCACACCATTTTGCACGAGTGAAGACATGTCATATTGATAATAAGCAGATGTGCCTCCACCAGTTGCCCTATCATTATCATTTGGTGGCATGGTTTGGCCATAACTCGTACTAGCTTCATTGCTAGTACTAGCCTGGTCTGAATTCGCCATTGTGATGACCTCATTGTCATTGGGTGGTATGCCTTGGTCAAGTTGTGAGCTCGATTCAGGGTCTTCACTCTTTATGGTTTCTTTCTTTGTAGATTTATCAACTTTCTTGTAGATACTACAAAGAACCCAATCATCCAACTAAAAACAAAAGGAAGAGATTAGAGATAAGTTGCAGGATTGTGTTAAATCAGATCATAGTCAGTATATCTAGGATGCCACATACTTCATATTTGTCAGCATCTTTATAATTAATTAAGTCATATATAAGTCATTGTTTTCATTAATTGAATCATGTACTACTAATTATGAGTATAATTATTGGTATTTTGAAAGCATACATCAAGATAAATTATACTAGTACGTACTACGTAGTATCTCTTTGATAAAAGTTGAAGCATGTCACTATATGTCTATATATAATACTTCATTCCTTTATAACTTGAAACTTACCCATCTTTGACTTTCTTAGTAAACAATGTCACAATAATATGACCAATGGCCTATTTATTTATATATATGTAAATATTTATAATAAGAAAATATGATAATGTCCTTTGATAAAAATACCCTCATAATATTATAAACTTAATTATAGCTTTCATAATTAAAAATCATTGGTCAAAGTTTACCATAATCTACCAAAAGTCAAAGATGACAAAACTTTAAGAGACAGAAGTACTACGGATGTTTGTAGTTGGATTTATTTTAGACTTAGGCCAGATCATAACAAACTTAAACAAACATACCTGATCTGAGAAACTAGACTAAGATAAATCCAAGTTAGATAAGAGTAAAAGAAACATAAAAAAATTAGGGAAAATGGAAACTAATAATCCAACCTTTTAGTGGTCTTCTTTCAATAATCCCACCTTTTGATTATTCATGAATAATCCAACCTTTGCACCTCATCTTCATTCGTTGGTCCCTGATCGGTTAATGACCTGCTATTCCAAGTTATTTTTTTTATCTTTGCAAAATATTATCTTTGTGAAAGATGAGATTTAAGGTATAATGATTTGCAAAGATAAGAAAATAGCTTGGAATAGCAAGTCATCAACCGGTCAGGGACCAGTGAATGAAGATGAGGTGCAAAGGTTGGATTATTCATGAATAATCAAAAAGTGGGATTATTGAAAGAAGATCGCTAAAAGGTTGGATTATTAGTTTCCATTTTCCCAAAAAATTATTTACCGGACCAAACTTGAACCGATCAGATTAAATCAAGGGATTTCAGTCCAAATAAAAACATTTTAGTACATAGTTTGTATCCGTCATACGTGTGTATTTTTTTTAATTAATTATGCACGAGAGAGTGTTTATCAAGAAAGGATTAGAGAAGACTTATATTTTGATTAATTTGATTGAATAAATACCCGCATGTTGACACCATCGACTCCCACGATTTTGGACCTAAGAGGTGGGGCATTGACTCTAAATTCATGCATGATCCATTTGGTCTTGGAGCCTTTTGGTGGTTTTCCTTCATAAAACACCAAAGCTTTTTTGAACCCTATGACGGTTGACCCATGTTTGATTTCTCTATCAGAACCCGTTGCCTTCCAGTATCCATTCACAACCCCGGGTTCGGCGCTCCCTACGGCTCGGTTTGGTCGATTACCGTTGGGGTATTTCCGATCTCTTGGCGTGAAAAAGTACCATTCTTTTGTTCCAATCATTCGATACTTTGCTGGAAAATTAGTTAGTAACAATTAAAAAATAAAGAATGATCCTGAGCACCTTAATTACACTGTCAATGGAATAAATAAAAGCAGTCCAAAAAAGGTGTGAATTTTGATTTATAAAGCAAAATCATTAAAGTCACTTCGGCATCTCAATTATTTCTCATTAGGGTTTAAATATTACGGAGTAATTCACTACGGAACTTAAATTATTACTCATTATGCGACGATACGTATAAGTGTATAACTTGCTTGATTTATTGAGACATCATTTTGTATAACCAAGATACATACTCCTTTAAAAAAGTTATATGTAGATGCAATAATCGCAAATACAGATATACATTGTGGCAGAAACAAATAAATATTAAAATTTAGAAATCATGTTCAAACTTCACACAAGAAGACTCATAAACTTTGCTAATATATGTCCCGACTTGTCAAGAATGAAAAATGATACAAGTACAAACAAACTTACAAATGAATAATAGTGCTTAATTGCGTCTCTTTTTTCTTAGCCAAATTTGGCTTTTCAAGTTAAAGATGTTAACCTTTGACCAAATATATTTATATATACGGTAATATTGATATATTGAAAATGATATTAAAATGTTCTCTATTAAAAATACTATAATTTTTTTTTTAAATTTCACATGGATATATTACATAAAATAATTGATAAAATTAACATCTTTAACTAGAAAAGTTAAAGATGGCTAAATAAAAAAGATGAACGCAGTCTAGTACAGTACTACATATTACATAATTAAGGTTTTTTGTATGTTAATAATGTATGTACTTCTAGCATAACTCATCAAGAACATGGTTTATACCATTCATAGTACAAATTACTCCGTGGTATTTTAGAACATCCAATACAGTATAACTTAATCGAGTAATAAATACGGAGTATATACATGTACATGCTTAATCAAGATACATAACAATTTTTAGTAAATACTATCGTCTAATTATCAAGATTAATACCACGATTAATCAAATTTAAAAGAAAAACCACGTATAGATAGATTTATATATATTCAACAAAAATTTATAAACGGAGTTCAACATGCATTAGGGTTTATTTGCAAAAGTCATTCATTAGGGTTAGGTTAGCAGTTAAGCACAATATAATGAACCCTGCAGATTAAATTTATAGTTATGGAAACTAGAACTAACCTGAAAGGACCTCTGGATTGTGCTTGTACAAGTTAACTTCCGGAATTTCGTTGGGAGGCAATTTCTGGTTCATTACCTTCTTCTTCAGATAGTAACGAATTAGCTCATTATCGGAAGGACAAAACCGATAGCCCGGAGGTAAATCGAAAGTATCGGCATATTCGGCGGGAAGATTATTGCTGCTCGGAACAATAGTTGGGGTTGCCGGAATATCGCCGGGACTAGACGGAGACTGTTTCACGGGGTAGGGATCCTCCATTGGAGGAGGAGCAGGCCAGGAAGAGTTTGTTGGGATGAGAATTACCTGGAATTGAAAATATAATTAATGAATCGAATTTACCCTAAATATATACTATCGTATATCGCTTAACTTCTAGTTCGAGATAAACATGGATGAAATATTATTTAAAGCGCCGATAATTGTGCGGGAGGACAATCCGAAAAATTGAGGGTCGCATGGAGTCTATTTCATTTTTGTGATTTTAATTACTTAGGGTTGTGCAGTTTTTTTCACGGGTTTTTTACAAAAAATATTATTAAAATAAAATTATTTACACAAATATGACTAATAGTTAATACTATCGTATAGTATAGTGTCATGATAATTTACATTTAAAAATTAAACATAAATTACTATGATTTGTTTACTACTCTATTCGTATACAAATTCATTAAAAAATATATAGTTATTTCTTTTTTCATCCCTATTAATTTTTCACACTTGTATGTCAATTCATTTTTTGGGATTGCCATTACTTTTAAATTTATGGTCCAATTTTAAAAATATATATATTAGCATTTTTAATTTTATGATCTTTTAAATAGTACCAAATATTGCATATCTAAATTTTAAAAATTTGGCCGATTTTTTCTGAAAAAATCTATTTTTATTCTAAAAATTTAGGAAATAAAACAGTTTTAATCATATTTTAGAAATTTTCCTATGTTTAACTCTTATTTTGAGCATGTTTAACTCTTATTTTGAAAATAATTCCTATCATTTCTAGGTAAATATGTTAAAGTTTGTGGCAGACAAAATATACCAGCATGTACTCCGTATAAGGCGTGTACAAATACCGTACGTGTAAACAAGAAATTACTCTACGGAGTATTGTTTTATATACTACGTATATATGTAGTACGGTAAATTAAGAGTACAGTTCTGTCTCACAAAACAATAATTGTATAGTAATAATAAGAGTACATATCGATCGACTTTTATTAGTCAATAAATACAATGATGATCAAGTTTCATCAGTGATATTTTAGAAATGTTATATGTTTATAACTAATGAAACCAGCTTCATCATCATCTTCTTCTTTTTTATAACTAATGAAACCAGCTTCATCATCATCTTCTTCTTCTTCGCTGCTTCTCTTCGCCGTCTCTGTTCATTAGTTTCAGATATGTGATAGCTATTCATCCTGAGATGGGGGCGGAGTGGTGGCTGTTGGGGCTAAGGAGAGTTTCAGAGGGACTACGGGGCTAGGGCGAGGAGAGTTGACGAGTTGTTGTTGGGCAAGGGATGCACTGCTGGGCGGTGGTGGGAGTGGATCCAGTTGTGGCGGGTTGATGGGCGGGTACACTGTACACTGCGGGGCGAGACTGTGGAGCCATGGAGGGGAGCAGGGTGCTGGTTGGGTATTTTTACGGAGATTGGTTAATTGGAGCAACGGTGCTAGGCTGAGCTTCATCGTAGGGTTCGAGTTGTTGGCCGTTGGGTGCTGAGGCTGGGTTGGGATAGGGTCAGGGGTGCTGGAGACTAACGATGGGGGCTATGTCGGGTCTCTGAACAGACTGGGGAGGGTTAGCGGTGGTATGGGCTGGGCGGCGGCATCACTGCGGCGGCATCACAATGACCGTCGACAGTGACTGGCGGTGACATGACACGACAGATGACAGTGGCAGTGACTTGGATGATGGCGGCAGTGACATGGATGATGGAGGCAGTGACATACGACAGTGACACGAAATTGGGCAGTGACATGAATAATTGGTAGTCACTTATATTGTTTCCAAATATATATCTTATCACGTTTTTGTCCAAATACAAATGTGATCACTTTTTTTTAAAATTAGTTTTAGTTTAGTAATATTAAGGGAATAATCCCAAACAAATGTGCACGGTTTCAAATGGCCTATCAAAATGGAATTAACTCTTAATTACTATGATCTTGAAATCTTGAAAATCTGGTGTCAATAATATATTGGTGTATTACCATAGAATCTACCTAATAAATTATTGACATTTCTCAAATAAATGTTCACGGTATCAAATGGCCTATCAAATACCGTGCACGTAGTCTGTCCAAAAATGATCAGGTGTCACAGCATTTGATATACTCCGTATGTAGTAAGTATACATTTTGTTCTTTTTTAATTGCAGCAATCCACATTAAATATGTGCCAACACCCACCTTTGACGATGAAACTTTATAAGTAAAAAAAATATCATATTTTGAAAACTTGTAATGAAACAACTTGAACAATATTTTTTTACGGGGTCACTACGTGAATGCTGGAGAATTAATAAGGACAGCTATAAGGGAATTGCCGTTATAATATGATCTCCTCATTCATCCCTTATTACAAAGGAGGAAGACAATTTGACTAAAGGACCCAATGAGGGATTCAGAAGGGATTAATAAGGGCATCTTTTTTTTACTGGCACATGCTTACATGGCAAAAAGCTTATAACGAAATAATAAGATAAGATCCGTCATAAGGACTGATGCATCATTTATTGAATGTGGCACAAGGGATGAAATACGATTATTTTAAAGGAGTGGGCCAAAGTGCAAGTTCAAATCATGTATAAGGTGTAAATTATGATTTCAACAAATAGCCGGTATAAAAACAAACTTTTGCATCACTCCCTTTTCCAACCCTAGCGGCGGCACCTTATCTTCTAAATCCAAAGTCCAACCCAGCAAAAGCTCATTGGTTCTTCCAACCTTATCTTCCAACTCTAGTACTTTGCCTATTGGTTCTTCACCAGCTCCCTATCCATCCTCTAAGTGTCACTGTTAGAATTAGCTCAAGTCGCTCACGCCCTTGTCCTAACTACTTCAGTTCGTCTTCCTCAATCGATACAAGTCTGGGTAAGAACACCTAACACTTATGTTTTATATATTAGGTGTTGATTTGGAATAAATTTTAGGTATTACTTCATAATTCGTTTTCCAACCTGCTATTTATAAACGATTTATCAAATATGATGATTATTATATTGTTGTGATCTGGATATGTTTGCTACTTTTTATTGCAGGAAGCCAAGAAATGTCAGAAGGACACTGGATACTTCGAGGCTTTTCGGTTGAAATGTCTACGATACAAACTGTTCTCAACTTTCACTCCTGGAAGATTGCTCCAGCTTTCACACAATGGATTGGAAGAAGATTTTACTTGAAAGATATTAGATTGCTACTAGTATTTCTTAGTTCTTACATCTATCATTGTATCACAAATACTGTATTCATTTCTCTTTATTTGAACTTTTTAGCTTGAATTTGTAATGTTATGTTATGTTCCTTGGATGTTTTTCAAGATTTGTACTCCGTACCTACTACTAATACTCTGTAAATAAGAATTAATTGATAACTCGTATGCATCTTTAATTCTTTATAATGCTTATTAAATATGGCTTTAGATTAATGCAAATGGTTAGTAATTACAGTATTAAATGTATAATACTCCATATTTTTTAAAAGAAAATAATTTGTAGCTAATTTTTTTAATAACGGCAACTCCCTTATTAGTTAGTTATTCAAAGCAAAAGCCACCACTCGTCCACGTCATCAATATATGACCGCTTATCACTTATTAATCCCTTATAGCCCTAATAAGGGAAGTTGGCCCTTATTGCTGCTGAAATAAGGAGTGTTTTAATAACGGATTTAATAAGGACCGATTCTCTTATTTGTTATAACTGATGTATAAGGGATCTCTCCTTATAGAGACATTTTCATTGGCGTAGTGGGTAAAATAGAATATTTTACGGATATAGTACTACCTCCGTCCCATAATTATCTTCATTCTTTCCTTTTTGGTCCGTCCCAAATTTATCTCCTCTTTCCTTTTCTAGCAAAGGATTTGTGGTTCACAACCATTCTTACACATTTCTCTCTCCTCTGCACAACTCTCCACCACACATTTCCCACTTTCTTAATCTCCGTGCCCAGTCAAAACCGAAGTTAATTCTGGGACGGAGGGAGTATATGTTTACACGAGAGATATAACAATTTGATAGATGTATATATTAAAATCATACTTCGTACATATTTATACTTCAAATTAAGATTGGTTAAATTTAATAAGGGAAACGGTGTATCTTTATAGATTAATATAATATTGAACCAAACCATTTAGATGAACGTCGATATGTACGTAATTATGTTAAATAAAAAAGCGCGCAGAACATGCATTAGGCTGCGCTTTGTAGAATACGTGCGTGAACTTTGTAATAGGGTAGCTATATGCACGGTTTTTTTATGGTAAATTCTATGGTACCCACAAGCTACCGTACATTTGTCCACATAGATCAATCAGAATCATGCAGTTGAATTATTTAAATCTAAATGAAAAGAGATTTAATGATTTGGACCAATCAAATGCATGGTAGGTACGGTACCCCATTTTTAAAATGGGTACCGGAGTTGTCACCTTTTTTTTATTAGTTCTGGGGAAATCTGATTTTGTTACTAGCTATATATATGTACGGTATAGCTGCACAAAATACACATATAGCTAGTACTACGTATATATACAAATGATCGAGATAAAGTTCATAAATATGGAAGGCCTCACAATTCACAAATACACCACTACTTTGACCCATTGAAATAGAGTAATTAGTGATTGAGGTCCTTGAGGATGTGCTAAGGCTTCAGATTCAGGGCTTCGTACAGTAGCTAAGTTGTAATAATTTCCATGGTTTATTTGGCATTTTGAATCAAATATGTGTTTTATTCTATTTTCCTAAATATTTTAGGGGAAATGGAAACTAATAATCCAACCTTATAGCGGTCTTCTTACAATAATCCAACCTTTTGGTTATTCATGAATAATCCAACCTTTGCATCTCATCTTCATTCTGGTCCCTGACCGGTTGATGACATGCTATTCCAAACTATTTTCTTATCTTTGCAAATCATTATACCATAAATCTCATCTTTCACAAAGATAATATTTTGCAAAGATAAGAAAATAACTTGGAATAGTAGGCCATTAACCGACCAGGGACCAATGAATGAAGATGAGGCGCAAATGTTGGATTATTCATGAATAATCAAAAGGTGGTATTATTGAAAGAAGACCGCTAAAAGGTTGGATTATTAGTTTCCATTTTCCCATATTTTATTTAAGAATAATTAAAAACAAAATGAAATTCTTATCCGATACATGATTGCACATGTACGATACCCTTTAAAAATAAAATAAAGTACCTTAACAAGTGCACAAACAGTCCACTACGCAGAGCACACCAAATATATTCCTCTACTAGGGCCAATTAATCAAGTAACTAACAAGCCGTTTCTATACACAGATAAAATATACCCGTAGTAACAATCTTCTAACAAGTGCATGAATGCACTGCACAAAAAATATTCCTGTAGGGCCAAGTAACTAATTAACAAACAGTTTCAAACGCACATAAAAATTAAACAATCTCCTAACAAGCTTGATTGAACTGCCATCTTGATTACTAGGAGTATATACACGATCCTCTAATCATCAACGGCAGCGTTACTCGAATCTGTTCTCGATGTCCCGTGTTTTCATACCCTAAACTAAATTCCCGTGTTTTCGCATGAGAGTTTCAAAACTTCTGTGTTTTTAGAATTTCCTCCTCATCAATGCTGTCATCCTTGTTAATTTAAAGGACCCCAAGCCCAAACGTTGTAAATATCATTGTTGTATATCTCGTTGAGTGTGTTAGCATCATAATAGATGTTAAGGGGTGAGGGTGTTTTGGGCAGGGAAAATGGAACACCACCCTTAATTATGGGTTGATTTGCATGGGTTAAAGAGTGGCTGGGATATGAAATCGGCATCTCAGTTTTAATCAATGAGCCCGACCCATACTCATAAACGGTTGTACCTCCATCAAGTGCCCTATCATTTGGTGGCATTGTTTGGTTATACCTCTTATCTTCATCGGTAGTCTGGTCTGAATTAGTCACCGTGACATCATAAACACTTGTACCTTCCTCAATTGCCCTATCATTTGGGGGCATTGTTTGATCATACCTCTTATCTTCATTGGTAGTCTGGTCTGAATTAGTCACCGTGACATCATAAACACTTGTACCTCCATCATTTGCCCTATCATTTTGGGGCATTGGTTGGTCATAACTCTTATCTTCATCGGTAGCCTGGCCTGAATTTGTCACCGTGACATCATCGTTATTCGGTGCTATGCTTTGGCCATGTTGTGTGTCGAGTTCAAGGTCTTCATTCTGTCTTGCACCTTCCCTCGTAGAGTTATCAACATTCTTGTAGATCTTACAGAGAACACACTTTTCCAACTGCAAAAAATGAGTGTTTACATTACTTTTTCTTGTAGGGTGTGTTCCGGAAAATAAAGAAAATTAATTAAAATAAATTAATTAAAGATAATGACTAAAGAAAACAAGAAAAGAGATGGAGCAGAATTTGTCAAAGCTCGTGTTACGCACGATGTCCTTAAAACGTATTTGTTGCCTCCCACGGTGCTAGGAGCGTTGCAACAATAGTTTCCCAGGATACGATGACAACGAACTAATGTTTGAGCACTCAAACAAAAGTTCCATCGAACGAGAACACAGTATAAACACTAAGGAAATTTTCAGAATGCTAGCAGTATGTTTTTAGGGGTGCAAAAGGTGCTTGGAGTGTATGAATTCGTGTAAGAACGTGTGTTGTTGCAAATCACCTGCCAGCCATTATATAGGAGGATTTGTTGTGTGTAAATGGTGAATTAATGGAGCTGAACGTTGGACATCAATGACCAGTCCATTGCGCATTGAATCTTCCATTTAACGCTGTTCCATTGAATCTCTTGAGAGATGGATTTTTGGACGACATTCGTGTCCGCAGGTCGCCCGCGCACGCAAGTCGCGGTTTTTCTTCTCCGAATTCGGGATTTGATTTGCACCCCCCCCCCTGCGCGCGTGGAGAGAGCCTTTACCCTTAGGAATCTTAACTCCTTAAGGGGGAGTCCCTTTATAAAGGGTTGCAAATCCCTTGGGTTTTCCGGTGTGGGAAATTAACACACTAGAAACTCATCCTTTTTCCCTTCTAACGGGTAAACTTCGAAAAGCGATTTCTCATTCACCCGTTATCCGTTTTGAGCGTACCATATATCGAATTGTAGCCCTAAGCAAGGACAATCCGAAACCACTTTGTCCCGACCCAAATCGGAAGTGGACCCCACTCAAAAAATTGTCCCAAAATAGCCATTTAATGCAATTTTTCACACATTTTTCCAACATTTCTTAGTTCAAAAAAAATTGTGCCCAGGAGGTTTGTACTAAAATATTAGTGAGATGTATTGCGAAATTGTATATAATCATCACTAAAAATTACGCATGTCACTTAATCAAAGATGATGCATACTTATCATCATCTCTATTTAAGTACTATATATTTTTTGTATGATTAAATCATGGGGAATTTTGAGTTTGCACCCCACTTTTTAGGTGATATTGGATTTTGCACCCCATTTTCAAAACTGTTAGACTTTGCACCCTATCTACAACATTTTGTGAAGAAAAAATCTTAAATGGGATGCAAAGGCAAAGACATTTTAGGAGAAATAGGGTGCAACGTCTAAGAGTTTTGAAAATGGAATGCAAAGTCCAATATCATCCCAAAAAAGGAGTGCAAAGTCAAAATATCCCTAAAATCATTAGTTAATAGAAGCTAAGTGTAATTATTGGCAATTCGGAAACGTACATCAAGATAAATTACAAACATTGCTACTATTAGAGTTTTAATTATATATTAATCTGTAATAGAAAATAGTCAAAGGATGTTTCTGATCACTTGGGCTTATATCAGTCCCATATCATATACTTGTAAATTGTAATACTTCACCACGCTTAAATAAAATAATAGACTTGACAAGATTTTAACAAACTGGATCAAACTAAGAATGTTTTAGCTATCCAAATTTTAGTCTTAGCTAGGTCAGATTAGACTAGACTTAAGTAGATCATACTTAGCTTGATCAAACAAAACTAGACCACATCAAACTTAGAAAATAATAATATACATATGAAACAAATAGCTACCGTGCTAGATCATACTAGTTCAAATCAAACTTAAACAAATAATTTTGGTGTAGGTAAGAACACTCGATCTAATGCTCACTATGTGGCTATATGTGCTTAATTAGTACGGAGTATTTGTTTTTATTTATTTATTTATATATACTACGTATATGAGATAATGCTTATCAAGAAAGTAATTACCTTCATGTTGTCACCATCGACTCCCTTGATTGTGCTTGTTCCACCAGGTTGGGCATCATTGACTCTAAATTCCTGCATGATCCACTTGGTCTTCGAGCCTTTTGGTGGTTTTCCTACATAGAACCCTAAAGTCTTTTTGAACCCTATGATGCTTGATCCATATTTGATTTCTCTATCAGACCCGGTTGCCTTCCAGTAGCCATTCACAACCCCGGGTTCGGCACTCCCTACGGCTCGATTTGGTCGATTACCATTGGGGTACTTCCGATTTCTTGACGTGAAAAAGTACCACTCTTTTCGCCCAATCATTTTATACTTTGCTGGACGTTCATTAGTAACAACAATTAACAGGTTAAAAATGATTCAGGAATAATGGCAGCAAATTATACAAATACACAATAATGTACTTTTATGCAAATACTACGTAATAGTTTACACGTAGTAACAGTTAATATAAATGAAACACGTTTTTTTAAATGAAGTACTTTAATTAGATACAGCAATATTTTTAATAAATATCTGTATATGTAGTTATCTACTTATCTTATACTCCGTACTACGTAATTATGTTATACTATCGTACAAAGATTGATAAAATCTAAAAGAAACCTATCAAACAAACACTACGTAGTTTATAATCTTTTAATTTGTATTTTAAAATTAAGGTTATACTATACTACTATAGTATTGAGGCCTAATATTATTAATGTACAAATATTGTAGCATACGTACTCATATTATCTCATACGTATGAATCAAGTGTATTAGATAGAATTAGCAGTAGAGATACTTTAGCTACTAGCCTTGATCCCTTCTTTTTAGCTAATTTGTTATGTATACTCCTGTATAAATATTCCCCATGTATTTCATCAATAAATCATTCATTCAAACCTTTATATATAGTTGATAGAGTATATGGGCCTGGATCCCATGGCCCACATACTCAACGGCCCAAAAGACACCAGCGGGACACCCGCATCGGCCGAAGGCACGTGATGTCCAAAAGAGAAGATGTCGCCTGATTTCTATGAACCGCATCGTCCATGGAGCATCGTCCATGGACCGCATCGTCCATGGACCGCATCGTCCATGGACCGCATCGTCCATGGACCGCATCGTCCATGGACCGCATCATCCGGACTTCGTCCGGGCGAATGTATTTTCCTATTTTTGTACTAAGTATTGTACTCAGCCCATTAGTGGCCTTATTCGCCCAAAGAAGGCATGGCTATTGTAATGGACCTCCTAAGCCCAAGGCTAGGGGCCCAAATCTGCATTTTTACCTATAAATAGACCCCAAGGGGCTAATTATGGGGATTCGGTTCCAAGTGAGAAATATAATTACTCACTTTCTCTCTCTAGCTCTCGCTTCTCTCTAGAATTAATACTCTATCATTTGGTGCTCTCGTTGAGAGCTTAGAACAGATCAAGTGAGAACCCCTCGTCGCTACTAGACGCAACAGAATGACAAGAACTAGGTCAAAGAACACCGGAAGGAATGCCCCTCTGAACCAGGAAGGGCAGGGAAACGTTGCTGACAACGTCCCCAATGACCTCATCAACCAGGATGACAACGCTCTGGAGATCGAGCACGCGACGGCTGACCTTCGCGTCCAGCTCAACAAGACTGCCCCAGACGCCCGCATCGGGCTCGAGGACAGGCGCAATGCTGATCGCGCTTCGGGCCAGCAGGCTTCTCACCCTGCTGCCCCCCAGATCAACCCGGCCGCACTATCGGCCATCGTCGCGAGCATTCTCCAGGACCCCAACGTGGTCAGCGCTCTCGTCGCAAAGACAGGGGAGAACAACACTCCGGCAACTGGAGAGGTCGCAACGGTGCCACCACCGCCACCTCGTCCGCAAGGCGTCACCTTCTTCGGTGACAACGAGGACGTCCTCGCCGTGGACACCCATTCCCACACTGCCTCACCTATCCGGGATACACCGGCCCAACCTCGCGGTAAAATCTCAGCCTTCAACAGGCTGGGTGACATCGCGAGCCGTCGGGTACCTACGGGAGGGGTGGCGGGTCGGTTGGGTGGCCGCGAGCCGGGGTCGCCAAAGGAAAGCTTCGGATCCGTTTCCCGGACGACGGATCGGCCCCGACCAGACAAAGGAAAAGGAAAACTGAATGACGATGATGCGCGTCATCAGATTAACCTGGCTCACGCGGCCCGGATCCAAACCCCGCTGGGTGGCGCTGCGGCCAACACGGACCCGAGGGACGAGATCATCGCTCGCCTGGAGAAGCGCCTCGCAGATATGGAGGCCCGAGAGGCCGCAGGGCGCGCATCGGCCCAGACATCCCAGCATCCCAACTACGACGCGCTCCTGAGCAAGGTCAGTGCTCTGGAAAGGGAGTTGGCTGACCGGCGCGATGAGCCCGTCATCCAGATACGGACCAGGACCCCCTTCTCTGCGAGGGTGCTCTCCGCCCCCATCCCAGAGAAGTATAAGGGGAATCCGATCAAGCCATATGACGGCCGCACTGATCCCCAGGAGCACTTCACCCGTTATCAGAACAATATGATGATGACCAACGCTTCGGAGGAGTACATGTGTCGCTGGTTCCTCTCCACCTTGGAGGGACCAGCGTACGATTGGTTCAACAACCTTCCGGAGGGGAGCATCGACTCATGGCAGGACCTTGCTCAACGCTTCCTCACCCACTTTGCCGGGAGGAAACGTGCGAAGAAGCATTTCGCTCATCTCCTGACCATCAAACAACAATCGGAGGAGACGCTCCGGGCCTTCCTCGATCGCTGGACGAGGGAGGCGGACGAATGCGAAGGAGCCGATGAGCGCACCCTCCTGGCTTTTCTCCGCGGAGCACTCCGGCCTAGCCACTTCGCCCGGAGCCTGTTCACGGAGCCGCCGCGGTCATACCTCGCGGCGCTCCGACGCGGAGATAGGCACGCTGATGCCGACGAGCTCCTGAACCAGAAGAAGGGTGGGGAGAAGCAACAAAAGAAGGACTCCTCGTCCAACCCCCACCACCCACCGGCCAACAAGGGACAACACCAGCCAAAGAAGGCACACCAGGAGCAAGGCGGACAGCGAAGAGAGGACCGCTCATGGCGCCCAAAGTTGGAGGCACAGCGCATCCCCCTCACCCACCCGGTGAGCGTCGTCCTTGACCACGCTGAGGCGCAGGGCCTCATTGTGAAGGATCCCAGGTCAGAGGAGGAGATATTTGCAGTCCACAAGGGAGGGACATACTGCAAGTACCACCGCCAGACATCCCACAAGACCGAGGATTGCACCACCTTGAAGAGACACATCGACGGCCTCATCCGACAGGGGGAACTTTCCCAATTTGTCAAGGGTGCCCCCAAGAGTAACACTTGGGTTAACCCTGGCAAAAGGGGGGAAGGATCCTCCGGGAAAAAGAGGGAGATCGGCGCCCTCAGTGAAGACGAGGACGAAGAGGAGCCCCGCCAGAAGAAGCATCACATTCACATCATCGTCGGCGGGAACACAGGGGGGGACTCGGCTACCCAACGGAAAAAATGGGCTCAGTCCCTATACGTTGGTGAGGTGTCCCACGCCCCCCCTCAGCCGAAGCGACGGCACATGGAGGCCATCACCTTCACCGATAAAGACCTACCCTGCGGCCCCTTGCCCCACAGGGACGCCCTCGTCATCAAATGCGAGATTGGCAACAACATCATTCACCGCAACTACATCGACACTGGCAGCTCCGTCAATGTGATGTACGTTGATACGTTCAGACAGCTGAAGCTGAAGAAAACCGAGCTCCGGCCGATACGGACTCCGTTATCTGGCTTCACCGGGGACTCTATCGACGCCGAGGGCACGATAGTGCTTCCCGTTGTGGTCGGTGACGGTACCTGTCAGGCGAAGATTGACATGGAGTTCGTGGTTGTCAACCTGGACAGCGCCCACAACATGATTTGGGGACGACCGGCCTTGGAGGACCTTGAGGCCATCATCTCCATGAGACATCTATGCCTCAAGTTCCCCACCAAGGACGGCGTCGGCTACGCCAGAGGGAACCAGAAGATAGCCAGGGCCTGCTACCTCAAGCTCACCAGGAAGATCAATGAGGCCGAGGAGCGGATAGACACTATCACCACCGCCTCGGCCGAAGAAGACACACCAAAGGCCGAACCGGTCGGAGACGTGGAAGATGTTCCGTTGGACGTCTCCCGGCCGGAACGCACGCTGAAGATAGGGACACAGCTCCCCCAACAGTTCCGAAGGGACATCCTCTCTGTCCTGAGAGCGTACGCCATCGTCTTCGCATGGGGACCAGAGGACATGCCGGGCATCAGCCCGAAGGTAATCACACATCGGCTATCAGTGAACCCGGCCTCCTCCCCCATCAAGCAGAAGAAGCGCTACCTCTCAGCCGACAGGAGGGAATTTGTCAAAGCCGAGGTGGCCATGCTGCTCTCCATCAAGCACATAAAAGAGGTGAAGTACCCCACGTGGTTGGCGAACGTCGTCCTCGCACCAAAACCGCCCACGTTCAGAATGTGTGTTGATTACACTGACTTGAACAAGGCGTGCCCAATGGACCCATTCCCTCTCCCCAACATTGATCAGTTGGTGGATGAGACGGCGGGGTGCGAGTTGATGTCGTTCCTCGACGCGTTCAGAGGGTACCACCAGATATCCATGCACGAAGATGACGCGGAGAAGACCGCTTTTATGACCTCGGAAGGAATTTTTTGCTACCTCGTCATGGCCTTTGGGCTCAAGAACTCCGGCGCCACCTACACAAGGATGGTAGCCCGGATTTTTAGAGCAGTCTTAGGTCGGACGATGGAAGCATACGTCGACGATATGATCGTCAAGAGCAAACAATCCACAACCCATGCCGACGACCTCCGGGGCATCTTCGAGATCATGAAGAAATACAACCTCCGGCTCAACCCGAAGAAGTGCACCTTCGGCGTCCAGGGAGGTAAATTCCTGGGGTACCTGGTCAGCCGAAGGGGCATCGAGGTAAACCCGGAAAAAAATACAAGCCATTATCAACATGGAGCCGCCCCGCAACATCAAAGAAGTGCAACGGCTGACGGGACGCCTTGCGGCCCTGAACCGTTTCCTTTCAAAGTCCGCGGAGAAATCGCTC